CTGAATTAAAGTGATGTTTAAGATATGCCAACATACATTATTGACCATAGATTGAAATTATGCTAGAGTTACTTGTTTTTAGGCCTTTCTTGGTTATTTTACAGCAAAATGAACTGTCTTTTTTTTAAACAGTTAGAATTGTATTACAATTTTGATGAGTAATAATTAAAAAGACTTTTGTTCTAAATTCTGCTCCCATACTTACATTCTACACACATACAGGTTTCCATTGCAAAAAGAATTATTGTTGTACCTGCCCTAGCTACAAAGATTTGAGGCCTCAAAATTGAACGGTCGTAAATATACGTTCTTGAGAAAATTGGAAAAAACTGAAAACGCAAAGCTTTTTCAAAAAGCAATGATCATGGTGCGCACGTTTTGCAATCCTCATAAAGGTGTTCATAAATTCGTAGCAGAGCTTCTAATACAGGTGCCAGCAAAGTATAAAGAATCCTCGAAGTCGGTTCCCTATTTTTTGCAGGTTCTGCATGTTAACAGCACCAAGAATCTGGACAGTTAGAATGAGATCACAAAAATTACTACTTCCTGGTGTGCGAAAATTTGCATAGAGATAAAAAATACTTGCAGGATTCAAAAATTTTTAAAAATGCATTTTTTGTCACTTTTTGGTCCCAAAAACCAGTCTGCCCCTTTAAACCGTGCTTCACTAGGTCACATAAGAAATTTTACTTAGACACTGAAACTTGTGGCGTGCCCAATGAAAAGCTTTGCACCACTAGAATATATCAATTCGTTCATTACAAGCTGCGAAAGCACGATGCGGGGATGTGAGCTTGAAAAATACCTTTGCTACTCGCTTTGTGTGGACTTCGCATGCCAAATTCTTTCTTCTTGAGCCGGAAGATCACACGGTGCAGACGCATCAACACATCATGCACACGCAAGCTTGCATTCGCATTACATGCTCGTGCCTTAGACATCCTGGATGTTAAAAACCCCAAAAAGAGGTCACAAAGTCACCCCCCTCCCCCGACGCTTTAAGATGTTATTTACAACCTCATCATACCAGGCCTGCAATCCAAGCAAACAATATCTTCTACTGAGGTGTTCTGCCTGGTTTGCGAGCATTTGGAGAGAAACTATTCCAACTGTCTTCACGAATGCACGGATGGTTCCGCCATTATTGATAATAACAGCTATGTGGCGGCATATTAGATGCCATCTATTGGAGCTGCATGATCTAGTCGCTTGGACAACCCAGTCTCTTCGACAGTTGCAGAGAGCGCAGCTATTTCTGCTGCTCTTCGCAAACTCAAGAATGGGCCTGCCCAACAAATTGTAATTCTCTCAGACTGTAAATCAACAATGCAAAAACTTTCTTGAGGGACTCCCTCAGACAAGTTCTGCCACCAGTCGCAAGCGTCAACAAAAGATGCTAACAAGAATTGTATGAACATAACTTTTGAATGGATACCTTCACATGTTCGTATCAGCGGGAACGAAAGACAACAAGCCCTGGCCAACCAAGCATTTTCAAGACAGCGAAAAATCAGAGCTCCTGTGACTCAGCAACTACCAAAACATACAATTCGATGTGATCTCTGCTCTCTATAGAATTCGCCCCGTCAGCTATACTAAATACAGTTGAGCCCGCTTATAACGAACGCGGCATCCGTTTGCTGTATCCCGAAGTTCGTAGTAAATTAAACACAGCTTTTAAAGAAAGTTGCAAATGAAAACAAACTTTTTTGCCCCAAAACGTCCGTGATGCACGTGTTTCGAAGAACAGAAGCGATAAGGGCGGTCTCGAGTTCATTTAAAACGGCAGGGTGCTCGTTCGCCCAGGCCCGTGGCATAAGCTGCATGAGGCACTTGCTCTAAAGTTTCGTCGTTCTCGCAATCCGATTCCTCCAAATCACTCTCGCTACGTACTTCATTCACTATGCCCTAATCCGTGCACAGTTCCGCAGTGTCCGCATCATCATCGGTCGTAATTAAACCATCGCAACAGATGTCCCACCCGCTCTCATAGGTAGGAGTCGACGACGCGCCACCACAAATCGCCACCGCAGTGGTCCTGTTCGGAAGCTTCAGGCTCGGCTTCGGGCCCGACGTCGACGAAGTCGGCCTCGCAAAAACATTTTAGCGCGCATGTAGCCGTCACCGCCGCCCACGAAATATTCACCATCTCCACAGCTGAATACTGGGACGCCCGAAACGGCAAGTTGGCTGCCAGGTGGTCAACAGCTATCAGCAAGCGCTCCGCGACGCGGCACCTAACGCGCGGATTACGCTCAAGCCAAGCGTTCACACTTTTGACGTTTTGTTGAGCGGCACGAAAAAGCGTGCTAGTCCTCCCATCAACCATCATGACCACACACGCACACCAAGAGCGAGCAAGACGCGCCCACACGACACACATGCCAGAACACGTGGAACAGCTCTGGGCTCGTTTCCAGTCAGAAAACGAAACTAATTAGAGCTAGCGTGGTGTGCGTCACGGAGCGGTGGCGACGGACGAAGGGATTGTGATCAAGAGAGGAGAGCAGACTTGCGAGAGAAGGGCAAGGAGTTGCAATAAAGAGAGGGGAGGATGCAGCGGGAGGGCGACCTTGAAAATCAAAACACACGGGAAGGAGGCAGGTTGGGTAGCTTGCTTGAAATGTCTGCGAAACTCGCATGTAGAAACACTTGGAAAGAGTGCATGGCCGCCTGAATCAGTGCGCGCGGAGGTGTTCGAAGAATCGGCGGCCGTGGTCAAAAAATCGTTTGTTGTGCCAGCGGGTTTGCGTGGCCTCACGAACTTCGATATTTCGCGATTCGTTTTGCACAAGTTAACAGCCGTTTTCATGCTACCGCACACGTGCAGAAGGCATGCTGAGCCGAGTGTGAAGTGAGCGAGGACAAGTCCTCACAAAGAAACGAATCGCAGATTATCAGAGTCGGTGGGGTAGCATACGCGCGTGCACTAAACGCAGACTATCGGATACAGTTGGTGGCCGACGATGTTGGCAAATGGTCGAGTCACTCCAGGCCGGCGATGCCAACGACAGTACAAGCCCAGCGATCAAAAAGCAGAGTAGATGGCCAACCGGTCTTCTAAAGATCGGTGGCAGTGTGAAAACACGGGCTTTGTCTGGCGATGCGGGGTGCTCAGAGTAGTGGGGGGAACAAAGTATGGAGGCGTGCGTAACAAAAAGTAGTCGGGGCATGGAGGTTGGGAAGAGCGGCAACTAGAGGGTCCCGGAGGCAGAATCGGCGTTTAACAATAGGATTGTATGGGCACCTCGCCGATGCCTGATTGGTGGTCGAAATTGTTTTCCCGGGAAGTCAGCAGACCGCAGACTTCGTTTGCTGTAACCGATCAGCGACGCTGGAGACGTTCGTTGTAAGTCCGATTTTGTGCCATTGAATCGATGTATATTTTCACGGTTACGCAGATATTGTTCGTTTTAAGCGAAAGTTCGTTTTAAGTGGGGCTGTTATATGTGGGCTTGACTGTGGAATAAGAACACAATCGACATACGCTCCTGCATGGTTATTTGAAATCAAGGGCGCTTTCTTCCCAGCTGTGCACAGAGTGAAATGAAGTTACGGATTTTCAACACTATCTCTTGTCGTGCAAGCATTTTTGCTGTGAAAGAAAAACATTAATGAACAGCATAAAGAAAGAAGGGTTTCCCCACAGGTGCTGTGAGGACATTGTGTTTCCAGCAGGTTTGCGGTTGATGTGAAAGCAAGTGACTAACATAGTCCTACGTTTTCTCTAAGAGACAAGGTTAAGGAATGCTTGGTGAGCCAAACTACATGGAAAGAGCCACTCCGGCAAAGAAATTGCCGGACAGGTCTGCCAGGTTCACCCCGCCTGTGGCAACATCACCCCCACCACCAGCGGTGTTGTGTCGTTTTGACGTTTTTTGTATTGTTTCTATGGGATGTATACCTCTGTACGTGCACGTTTGAAGAGGCCGGCATGGATCATGTGTCCTTACCATGATACAATGTTGTTCCGCTGGAAATGCTCTAAGGGACCAAACTCACGCCAAGCCTGAATGCTGGCACCAGCGCGATATGAGAACAATGAGAACACCGTCGCAAACGAAATGGAGGCAGCTTAGTCTTGCATCTCACTCGATACGAAGTTAAAAAAATAATGCGCATAGATTCCTTTTGTGTGTTTCAGTATTCTTGTTAACATTCATATTTCTATTCATACAAAAATATTGCACAAAAAACACACGAATTCTTACAGTTTACATACGCAGGACAATTCCTTGTTGTATACATCATCTCAGGTATATTGGGGTGTGCGCTCGTGAGATGAAGGTCAAGCGGTGTTCAGTCCAACATTTCACTTCTTTCTGGAGCGCTAGCATTGCAAATCTTGGCATATGAGGTCGTGAACACCCAGTGCATGCGTACCTCTCGCCTGCTCAAAATTCTCAAACCTGGTGAAGGGTCATTTAAGATGTTCATAGACAGAAGAGAAATTGACCCTGTGCGGCTAGAACAAGTTAATGCGAGGCAAAAGTACGCTTCTTGCGCATTACCGCTCTGGCTACTTGCTACTGTGTTGCTCTTCTCCGACATGCCGAAAAGAATGGGACCCAGAAGCGTTTTCATTCGATGGTCAAGTCTATACTGGACTAGAAAAGGAGAAACCGTATTCTGTAAACCTTGTGGGGAAAAAAACTGCATGGCTATGCTAAACATTTGGCACATTTGTACCACCATAAATTGAAACATTTCCGTTTGCTTTCCTGTCGCAGAGACAGATCCCACAAAAATTTACAATTTTAAAGGCCTAAAAGAGTGTTTGTTCACCTATTCTTGCTGCCCCAACCTGGTTTTTTAGTGTCTATAAATCCGCTCACTAGTGATTATGCGACCATATTTTGCCACACTTTCCATGCGCAATGAACGTGTCAGTGACTACATTTTGATGTAGCGGGCCAAAATTCAGTATAAAGAAGTCCAATTCAGACTTTTAACCTGATCTTGTGCAAAAATCTTGATTTTGCAAAATATAAGCCACCCACCTTGATAGTCTGATGCAGCATCTCTGCATGAAAGTGCTCCTCTGCTGTAATCGGCTCAAGCACTGGGATACTGTCGGGATCTGGCGGAGGCTGCCCATTGGCTAGCACGTGCTGCTGCTGCAGCAAAGGAGGCTTCTGAAGATTAGTGGCTTTGGCCGATGTTGGTTGTTCCAACAGCAGGCCACCTCTTCCGACAACCGGCTGCTGCAGTGCGGCCCCTCCTGCAATATGAAGGAAAAGCAGAGTAGCAAGGACACAGTGTGAATAAGCAAGATGCAAAGCAAAAAGAAAACCTTGGAACAGAACTTGAATACTTTGCGATATGTTGTAAGGCACTCGAAGTTGTGTGGTCAGAAGGTTATGAGCCATTATCTTAGAACTCATGGACACAGACAGTATAAGCCATGGAGCATCCAACAAGTGTACATTTTGTTAATCTGTGGCAATGGCATCCCACCCATCAGCGCCTCCGCTTGGCACTGGCCACAATAGTGGTACCGCGAGAATAGCAAGAGTGTATGTATTGAGGCGTTTGTGCCCACCTGCTTGCTACCGGTTTCTCTTCTCTGCGACAGATGGAGAGAAGAAATGGCATAGGTGAGGAGGAAGGGAGGACAAGCAGGTGCTCATTGGTGGTTTGCTTGCGTGTAAGCGGCAAATATAGTGAGCCAGTGATTCGATCAGTGGCAAATCCCCTGACGCTCCCCAGGGAAAAGAGACAAGCGGCATCACGAGTGGTAAGTGTTGAGTGGAAGAGTGTTGCGCCGCCAGCGTGTTCGTACCATAACCTCCCCTGCAAGCAGTGCTACTGGCGCCACTGCAATAACCCTACCCAGCGTGAGTACAGCGCCATCTTCAACTCGGCAGCTGTCAGACCTAAATGTGGCCAATTCGAGAGACGTGCATGCTATGAGGTGGAAACAACCTTACAAGAGGTGATAGCGACCCCACAAAGTGGTAAAAGAAGAATACCGTAATGAAGAGAATCTCACAACTTTAAACACCTTAATACGTATCTACGATTCACGGCCATAATTACATCTTCTGTCTCTTCGTCTTCCTCATCTTCGAGTTTCACACTGACAGGCTGTGGTTGCACTCCTCTATCAGGTTCAATACATAACACTTTCTGTTAGGGAAGGCAGTGGGGATCTGCAAGGAGGTGAAGAATGTCCCGGCTGCCACCACGCATTGCTACAGAATGCACCTTCAAGGTTGTGTGGACACATATAGAACGTTGAAAGGCTGGTCGGTGTCGCATAAATCATCCAACCGGCAGAACATCGCCTTGCAATGCACTTGCGACTTGCACTTGTGACTTGACAGTTACTGACATGTTCTCAGGAAGCTGGACACTTTAGCAGTTGGCACCTTCTTTTCGCTCACTGATTTGTCGGGAACCAAGAACCAACATGACGATGATGATCATGGCATGCGGTTCAAGAGTGTGACCTCTGCTCATGAAGCTTCGCACTGTCCTAAGTTCTGCCTGGACGTTTGCACCATGTCGGATTGACAAGAAAAGTGGCGAGGTTAATACTTCCTTCGTCGGCATTTGCTGGAGTGGTTGCGTTGCTGTTGCAAAGGTCGCAGGTTTCTCATGAGATGGGGCACGTTTGGAGGCTTTTAAGCCTTTACAAGATTTTTGCCACAGTATTTAACACTGACACCCCCACCACAGGACTTGGCGTACCTTGGAGTTTGTATTACTTTCTCGTCAAGGTCGCTTTCAGTAGATGCTCTGTGGATTCTTTACTTCTTTTCATTTTATTCTTTTATTGCAATAGCAATTATACAGACACGCTCGGCTGGACTTTGTGGCCGGCGTTGGTGTCGCCATTACTCACTGTATATGTATACGTATCTATATATATATGAAAATGCAAGAAAAAAAACCAGAAAAAACTCTGGTGTGCGAAATCGAACTTGGGACCTCTGAAACGTGAGTGCAAGGTATTGACCACTGAGCCACGGAGAGGCACGTCCTTCAACGTTGAAACGGCAAGCTATTTATATCTACCACTTACCACTGTTGACGACCATCTCCGGAGTAACTATTGAGTGTTCAGCATTACCAGCAAAATGGCGCAATAAGCGCGCATTGCCACATCGTCATGACGCGGCTGCGCCGCTCTCATCTCCCACGCATACTTTGCCCTGCGGATAGAACAGAGGTAACACTCGCTCACGCACCCTCATCTCGCGGTGGGGAAAAGCGTACATCTTGATTAACCTTGGGATTTCACTGGAACAATTCTGTTGTAGTTACCAGGCGCACAAAGATCACTGCAATCACTGCACAGTCTCTGTTTGCGAAAAGGGCATGCTTTTGCGACACAGTGAAGTAACAACTGAAACGCTTATTTGCGTTTATCTGTAGCTGAAAGTACGTTTCATGCGTCATTTGTGCATGAGAAACGTAGGGCACGTTTCGATCTGTTTGCCATTCTGTGCTTGACTTTACAATTTGTTGCTATCACGTTCATTGCTTCGCCTTTGCAGCAAAGCTGTGACTTTTTGTCCATGCTCTTACTTTCTGCCTTGAGCAGACTACTACACCATTTGTGCAAGATCGCATTAGTTGAACTGCAGTCAGTGGATTTCGCACTCTCAGGATTGACAGAGTTCTGCACTTCCTTGCTGTCCCGCACCTCGGCAATCTGCTGCACATTAGCGATAAGTTCAGACTTACACGCCCTTCTTCTGAAATTATGTTCGACCATCTTACAAGCATCAACTACAATGTAAGTCACTTCCTTCTTTGACATCCAGTTGCGAAGTACCTCTCCAAACCTAGCTAGTTGCTAGCGAATAAGTTTAATTTCATTTCACTTACTACTTCACAAAGCAGAGGGCATGGGAAAAAAAAGCTCGACACAGCTTGACTAGGCTTCTCAGCATGTTACTGCCCAGAGTCACGCAGTCACAGTACACACATTCCTCTAGTGATTCCTTCATCGCACCCACCAGTTTGTCTTTGAGTCTGTGCATTTTTCATATCCCCCCGCCGCCACAAATCGCAAAGGAGAGAATTTCAATAACTTGTGAACACTTGAATATTTACGATCGGCAGTCATAATTACATCTTCTGGCTCGTCTTCCTTATTTTCCAGTGCCAGACCAATAGCTGTGGCTCCGCTTTAGAGCACTGCAAGGGCCTATTTTTCCGGCCCGGAAACTTCATGCTACGGCCGGCCCGAGCATGGCCCGGTGCTTTTAAATACGGCCCGTACCCAAGAGGTTTGAGCCAGGCCCGGCCCATTTCAGCCAGTTATGCCTTGACCATAAACGAGGCACTGCCCACTCTTCATGCATTGTGAAGATACCTGCCTCCCACAAGACGTATTCTAGTGAGCGTTTTGGAACTTGTTTCAGTGTCGCGACTATGACTGGTATACTCTGTATACTCTCCATCAATTACACCCCTAATGCTGTCGCAAAATAACTACAGGGTAATTGATATATAATTTTAGTCATAGCTGGCTGTCTCATGTACCCAGTGCTAACAACACAGTCTCATTTTCGCATTTTAAAAAACGACTACAAAATATACTACCCCCAAAAAGTGAAAGAAATGGCAGGCATTTATAGCTTGAGTGTACATATATTGCATTTGAGTAAATGTGCGTTTGAGGGCTGTTGAGTAAAAATAACAAGTCTTTTGCAAACGTCATTTATTACGCTATGCAATTAAAAAGACACGCTCTAGCTACTTCTGAGAGGAATACACCAAGCTGGGGAGCATTACATAAATACTAAATGCTGTCGTGTTGACTCCTCGGCTCTCCGACGTATACTATGCGTTCGTGCTCAAAACGAGATGATTATTTTCCCCACCTTTTCCAGAGTCATCCCCACCGCAGTTCCATAGATCTGTCAAAGCGAGCCACACTCATCAGCAAGCGAGCCACCCTCCTCGTTGTCCGCTTATGATACTTATTTCGTCTTTTTGTGACAGCCTTCAGTTTTTGAAAGTGTTACGTCTTTGAGTGAAAATCTCTCTCGAGCTTTTACTGGCGCTCAGCGCAGTGTCATCTAACACACTGCGTACATTGCAACAGTCCAAGAAGAAACAAGCCTCTGCTCCACTACCCTTCTTTGTCTCTTCAGTGCGTACCGCGTGCAATTTTTTATAACCTCCACCCCGGCAAGTTCATCAATGTTTCCTTAATATTCTCTGCAGGCAACAACGAATGATACTCAGCTATAATTTTCACGTTATTAGCATGAGGGCAGAGAAGTCTTAAAATAATATGTACCAAAAGCCTCGATTTAAGTTCGCGACTATCTTGAGCGTTAGTTCATTAACAGAATATCCAACTCTGTAATTCCCCTTCACATATGTATACTGTTCAAACTGGCACACGTTTGCCGGTGACAATATACAATTTCACGGTAGACTCTACCCCCGCAGCCGCTAGCACAACACTGATGACAATGTTGACCTGAAGCAGCTTCGATTGGGACACACTGACTTTTGGAAAAGTGTTGTAGCTGTTGAGGAAGCATTGAGTCAGAATGGCACGTATGCATCACAATTACTGCGCACTTGTTTAGCACGTGGTGTCGTCTTAGTGACTAGAATCATTCACATAGTTCAGCGAGAGTGCCATGAAGGCGACCATGACGACGGCATCGATGCATGTCACTCGAATTGAGGTGTGCATCATCATCATCATAATCAGCCTGACTACGCCCACTGCAGGGCTTGATTGATTGATATGTGGGGTTTAACGTCCCAAAACCACCATATGATTATGAGAGATGCCGTAGTGGAGGGCTCTGGAAATTTCGACCATCTGGGGTTGTTTAACGTGCACCCAAATCTGAGCACACGGGCCTACAACATTGCCGCCTCCATCGGAAATGCAGCCGCCGCAGCCGGGATTCGAACCCGCGACCTGCGGGTCAGTAGCCGAGTACCTTAGCCACTAGACCACTGCGGCAGGGCACCCCACTGCAGGGCAAAGGTCTCTCCTATGATCCGCCAGTCAACCCGGTCTTGTGCTTTTCGTTGCCAAGTTCTATCTGCGAACTATTTAATCTCATTGGCCCACCTAACTTCCTGTGTCTTCTTTGTGCATTTGCCTTTTCTGGGAATCCAATCAGTCCCCCTTTATGATCAACGGTGTGCATAATGCTGTTATTGCGGCAGCCATTCAGGCCAGTTGGCGTCTTCTGAAGTTGTCGCGTTGTTGAAGGGAGAGCGGACACCAAGAGA